AAAACCACGTCGTGGGATGATCTTCCTTTCAAAGACCTCGAAGACCGATTGCACGACTTCGCCCAAGTGGCACGTACTCTCGATAGACCTAGCGAAAGCCAGTAGACTCCGCATTGGCGTATTTATTCAATCGTATCATACATTTAGTTGTGGATATAATCGTTTTCTAGTTGATCTGTCGGCAATGGTTAGATTTTCGATATGCTTTGGTGACAACCTTGTTCCATGATATCTTGAAACTCTGAAAATTGCATTTTTGGACCCCCGTTTTTACCTCTTTATCATGCAAGGTGCATATTGTGCTCGGAATTTTTTTGCTTAATATCAATAGTACTTGTTTTTATTAAATGTAATAATTGCCTACTGAATTGTAAAAAAGAGAAATACTATTCCTCGCGAACACAATATACTACTAGTATGTGACGATTCGGTCAGTGACCCACGGTCACATAACCGTAGTTGGATGGCCCAGAGCTCCGTATCTCGTAGCCACCTAGGAAATGCCTTTGCACAAATTTCCGACCTTCATCTCTTCCTTTCAACCCTCAATCTACCACAAAACGATAAAGAATGAGCGCTGCACGCAACCGCGACCTCTGTCGCTTTTCTTCGCCGCCGCTGTGGACCGCTACTACGCATTCAACTACTGTGGGACGCAGCTCCCGTCAAGTGGCTACGCCAATCTGGCGATTCATCTCAAGAACAAGCACCCTGGTTACGTTGCTGACAACGAATCCCAACAGAGCAGACAGGCTGGATAGTTCACAGCTTTTGGGTTTGTCAACCCAACTGTCTCTAACAGGTATCAGTGGATTGAGTGGGTCATCTCCCGCAACATGCTTTTGAGCGAGGTTGACGATCCACTCACATGAAGTATGTCCAAAGTAAACCGGTCTGCTCAAAGACTCTCAAGTGCTACATGTCCCTGCTAGTGACGGCTGTAGAGGCCCATATTAGTGCAGAGATGTCAGGCCTGTATGGTTTCATGTTCGATGGGTCCACGTTCTATCTATAAACGGCATGGCTCTTTACGGTGTGTATTGGTACAAGAGACAGCACAAGCAAGTACTACTTGCTATTGCACCGGTAGAGGAAGGTGACCTGATGGTCCAACCACTTTGCGCCTTTATCAAGAAAATCAGCCAGATTTCCCACCCATCAGAATTGAACCTATCGTTTCTGATTGGTAATAATTGCGCTACCAATCAAGCTGCTGCGACACTCGTCAACTCCCTCTGATTGGCTGTGTCTCACCGCTTTAACGTGGCTGTAAATTCGTATTTGAGCAACTGCAAGGCGGAGGTGGAAGCGGTGGGCGCTTATGGCGGAGGTGGAAGCGGTGGGAGCTTATGGCGGCGCTGCGCACGATCAACATCCGCGCCGCCTTGCGTGAGTACACGCC